GTCTAGAGTGACTGAAATTGTTTGTGAAATGAGATCAAATGGTGAAAAAATTAGCAACGAGACCACCGTGAGTAAGGTGTTGAGAAGTTTGAATGATGATTGGAATAATGTTGTTCCTGCAATTGAAGAGTCAAAGGATTTATCAAGCTTTACCTTTGATGAATTGATGGGTTCTCTGTTAGCTCATGAGAGTAGAATGAACAAAAGTGTTGCCAAGGTGGAGGAAAATGCATTTCAAGTGAAGGGAGAGTCTTCCTTTAAGGGGAAGAGTGAAAATTCGGGAAACCATGGCAGAGGTAGAGGAGGTTCCGTGGAGGTCAAGGCTGAGGTCGAGGTTGAAGAGGCTATCATGATAATGGTAGAGGCAGAGGTCATTTTAATGATTCTCATATACACAAGACTTAAATCCAATGCCACTATTGCAAGAAACAAGGTCACAAAGAGGTTGATTGCTGGACCAAACAGAAAAATGAGCAACCTCAAGCAAATTTCTCTGAGAAGGCAGAAGATGAGAGCTGGTTGTTTATGGCCCATTCTCACATCTCTTCAAGCAACCATGATGTGTGGTTTCTGGACAGTGTATGCTCAAACCACATGTTTGGGGCAAGGTCGCTGTTCAAAGAGCTCGATGAGTAAAAAACAAGAGACGTTCGTCTAAGAGACAACAAACAAATGCAAGTGGCAGGAAGAGGTGTCATCGCCATCAAAACAGTGTAAGGCGATGTAAAACTCCTGTATGATGTGCAATTTGTGCCTAATTTAGCTCATAATCTGTTGAGTATTGGTCAATTGATGAGTAGTGGCTATAAAATTGTGTTTGATGATGGCGTTTGTGCTGTGATTAATAAGAAGTCAGGCCATAGTATAGCAAATGTTCATATGACTCAGAATAAAATGTTTCCGCTTGATGTTTCAAATGATGTTATGAGCAATGTATTGATTGCTAAATTAACAAATGAATCTGAGTTATGGCATTTATGTTATGGACATTTGAATGGTCGTAGTTTGAAACTTTTGAGTCATAAAGAAATGGTAGTAGGCTTACCAAAAATAGGCGAGCTCAGCTTTTGTGAAGGTTGTGTTTATAGGAAGCATAGCAAAGCCTCTTTTCCTACTGGGAAGGCATGGAGAGCATCCGAATGTCTTGAACTTGTGAATGCTAATTTGTGTGGGCCTATGAAAACTGAGTCACTAGGTGGAAGTCGATATTTCATGTTGTTAACTGATGATTATTCTCGCATGAGTTGGGTTTATTTCTTAAAATTCAAATCTGAGGCATTTGAGAATTTTAAGAAATTCAAGGCATTGGTGGAAAACCAAAGTGGTAGACACATAATTGCTCTCCGAACTGATAGGGGGGGTGAGTTTGTGTCTGATCAGTTTAATGCTTTCTGTGATGAGCATGGAATTCGAAGAGATCTTACAGCACCATACACGCCTGAACAAAACGGGGTGGCAGAGCGAAAGAACCGAACAGTGGTAGAAATGGCCAGGAGCATGTTGAAGGCAAAAGGGCTTCCGAATAAATTTTGGAGAGAAGCTATGTCTACTTCAGTGTATCTCCTAAATATATCACCAACAAGGGCGGTTTAAAACCGAACACCATTTAAAGCATGGAGAGGTAAGAAACCCAGGGTAAGCCACTTGAGAGTTTTTGGTTGTGTAAGTTATGCTTTGGTTAATAACCGTTCTAAACTTGATGATAAACCTGATAAATGCATCTTTATTGGTTATTGTTCTCAATTCAAAGCATATCACTTATATAACCCTGTAAGTGGCAAAGTGATAATAAGCAGGAATGTCGTGTTTAATGAGGAAGCTCGATTCAAGTGGAATGTCGACAAGGATGGCATTGCTGATTATGTTCCAGTAGATGGTGAAGCTGATGAACAACCAGCTGCAAATTCAACCACCTCCTCACCTGCAAGCACTCCACCATCAACTCCAAGTAGCAGCACAAGCAAGTCACCTAGCTCTTTTGGTAGCAGTGACAGTCGTGACACTCCAGTAAGAAGAAGTAGATCCCTGGCAAAGCTTTGTAGTTCCTGTAATTATGCTCTGCTGGTCACCGACCCTATTTTATTTGAAGAAGCTGAAGAACAACCTAAATGGCAGCTTGCTATGAGAGAAGAAATGGCAGCTATTGAGAGGAACAATACATGGGAGTTAGTTGATGCTCCGGAAGACAAGAATGTGATAGGGCTGAAGTGGGTGTTCCGAACAAAATATAATGCTGGTGGAAGTATTCAAAAGCACAAGGCTAGGCTCGTGGCAAAAGGATACTCCCAACAGCAAGGTGTTGACGAGACATTTTCTCTCGTTGCTCGATTTGAGACGGTGAGAACAATGTTAGCATTAGCTTCCCAGCTCAAGTTACCTGTGTATCAACTCGATGTGAAGTCTGCGTTTTTGAATGGTTATCTACAAGAAGAGGTGTATATGGCCCAACCAGAAGGCTTTGTCGTAAATGGCTTTAAAGACAAAGTATACAGATTGAGGAAAGCTCTTTACGGGTTGAAGCAGGCACCACGAGCATGGTACAGCAGAATTGATTTCTACTTTCGGAACAATGGATTCACAAGAAGTGAAAATGAGCCCACTTTATACTTCAAACGTGAAGGTAATGGTGATTTTTTACTAGTTTGCCTTTACATAGATGATATGATTTTTATGGGTTCATCCGAGTATTTAGCTGCAAACTTTAAGTCTAGTATGATGAAGATTTTTGAGATGACAGATTTGGAATTGTTGCAATATTTTTTGGGTCTTGAAGTAAAACAAGACTTGGATGGAATTTTCGTATGCCAAAAGAAGTACTCTGCAGATTTGTTACAGAGGTTCAATATGTCAGATTGTGAAATTGCAGCCACACCAATGAATGTCAATGAAAAGTTACAACGTGAAGATGGAACGGAAGCAGCAAATGCAAGGCTATTTAGAATTCTAGTAGGGTAGTTTAAATTACTTAACACACACTAGACCTGACATTACTTTTCCAGTTAGCTTGGTATCCAGATTTTTACATGATCCTACCCAACAACATCTTGGTGCAGCCAAAAGAATACTTTGATATGTTGCTGGAACTATAGACTTTGGCATTTGGTACTCAAAAACATCAAGTTTCAAACTTGTGGGCTTCACTGACAGTGATTGGGCAGGTAGTATTGATGATCGTAAGAGCACTTTAGAGTGTTTTCAGTCTCGGTTCAGGTGTAGTAACATGTAGTTCAAAGAAGCAAGAAACAGTAGCTTTATCTTCTTCTGAAGCTGAATATGCAGCAGCTACTTCAGCAGCACGTCAGGCTTTGTGGCTTAGAAAATTACTTTCTGATCTTGGTTATGTGCAAGCAGAAGCTACTGATGTTTTTTGTGACAACAGGTCAGCTATTGCAATGAGCAAAAATCCAGCATTTCATGCAAGAACTCAGCACGTAGATGTGCAGCATCACTTTGTTCGACAACTTGTAGCTGATGGGAAAATTATTCTGAAAATTTGTGGCACCAATGAGAAGGTGGCTGACATCTTTACTAAGGCACTTCCTCAAGCTAAGCCTGATTTCTTCTAGATGCAACTAGGAGTATGTAACTTTGAATCAAGTAGAAGTGTTGAATGACTAATTCAAAGTTAGTTGCTATTATTTAGCTAAGTTTAGTGTTAGCAGTAACTTAGGATGCTAATAAAGTTGTTTTAGTGGTTGTTAGTGGGTTAGTAAGTTTATGCAGTAAAATTTGGAAGTGGGATTATGCTCCCTATTTTTAGTTTGTTTTTGTTGGTATGCTACACTATTTAAATCAAGTTAATCAAATCATCTTTTGATTTCTACTATATTATATTGCTTCAATAGGGTGTGACTCGAAATGCCATAACATTTTCACGGTTCTTAAGATTTGAGGATTCTCCTCACGGGAGCCACTCATCTTGTATAACTCTTTGATATGCTTGATCGATGGTTGGTAAAGGGTCTTGTGACAGCAAATTTGAACGGATAGTTGCAAATTTCCCATATAAACCAATCAGAAAATGGTGGAGGTAGTCTTCATCACGTAAATCAGTCACCTGTTTACTGATATCACACACACACACCCTGCACAAATCCAATTGGACCTTTTAACGTAGGTCACGAGCTCATCCCATACGCGAGATAAGTGGCTATACTAGATTGACACCTCTTCATCTTTCCCTTGCTTGCATATTCTCCTAGAGATGTTTTTAATTGGTTGATTCGAGTCCCATTAACAACACAGAAGCGTTGCTTGAGATGTGTCCACAAGGATTGTGCATCAACGTAATAAGAAAGGGTGGAGCATAGTGAGGGCTCTATGGTGTTAAGCAACCATGCTATGAGCATTGAATGGACTGATGTCCAGTCCTCAAGTTTCTTAGATGTTGTCGGTTTTGTGACTTTCCCTTCCAAAAACCATATTTTCTCTTTGCTTGCAGCAAGGTACGAATGGCCCTCGCCCATTCATCATAATTTGACCCACGCATGCAATTGAATTGGTGTAATCACGTATCCAGGATTATCACTCGAGCCATAAAAGAATGTAAAGTCGACCTTCTTCTCGCTGTTCTCACCATTCTTATCATCATCACCAACCATAATCTCTTATGGTGTTTGAGAAAAAAAATAAAATCTATAGTATTCTAAAGAAAAAAATTGTATTTTAATTTGGCCTAGGATATTTCCTTGCTCTGTACACCATGATAAGATTTTCTTCAATTCATCTGTCATCTCATTCATTCAAACAGGAAGCGTTACAAAATATGCCTAACATTAAGCTAGGAATAACTCCCATAATTACTACTAATAAAAGCATAATAACATCCCCTCATTATTCACAAGTATAACAGTCATAGTAATATCATACTCCATTATCTGACTCAATACTTCTCCTTAGTATACGTTAGATGTTATCATGTTAACATCAATTTATTGATGAGGTTGGAAAAGATAAACACAAATATGTAATTTAACACATGAATTATAATAATATGATCATGAACCCTTATTGTTATTGAAATAAACAAGTAATAAAATTATTGAAACATCAGTTATACTTATATCATTATGATTATGATGTTAATTAAAAATGTACTTTAATTAGTTAACCAAACTACAGTGCTTCCTAATTTGGCCTTGACTTCCAGTAAGCACACCAATAGCTCCCATTTTCTCCATAGATTTAGCAAACTCATCAAAGAATTTTTTCGGGTTAAGAAGTTTTAAGGCAAATCTTCGAGCATCATCATCAGTGAGGAGAGCAGCATCGGATACAAAAAGACCCTTACGATCCTTTAAGATCTCAAAGTAATGGTTGTCGAATGAGACCGAGCTTCCGGGATCCATCGCAACAGTGGTTATGCGATCAGTTGAGTTTTTACATTGAGTTCTTAAGAAATCTGCATAATTTGGGTCTAATGATGAGTCTTGGTCTCCTTTTCCAGTGAAGTTGAATAATCTTCTGCTAAAAAAGTTGCAATGACCAACTCCGATTGTATGTGCACCTTCATTGATAAGTAACGTATAAAATGTAAAGAAATAAGAACATAATGCCCTTGATAGGAATAAAATTAATAAACCTTTTTTTTTTTTTTTAGAAAAGAAGTTAATAAACTTTAGGCACAACGGAATTAAATTCAAATTTTTCCTCCGTCCCATACTGTTTTTTCTATTGTTGATTTTTCGTGGGATAATTCCGATAGTATAAGAAAAGTGGAACAATTTGTCACAATTTATACTTTAATATAATAAAATTTTGTGTGATCTTGTTAAATTTGTCTCAATTTTTACTTTAATAATAGGAAAATTTGATAATTACCACCTACTATACTTTATGTTTTAGTAATAATCACCAAAAATTATATTTATTTTATTTTACCACCAACAGTGTTATAAAACATCAAAATTTACCACCTCTTTGCCCAAATCCTCTTGCATGACGTCACTTTAGATCCCACCCCTTACTTCTCCCTGTTCTTTTTCCTTCTTCTCACGATTTTCCCTTCTTTATTCATTAATCGAAAAGAGAAAATAAATATTAGGGTTTCAAAAATCATTCTCTTAGCTTCAATACTCAATGTAATTGAGGAAAAAGGAATGTATTGTTGCTTTATGCTTTATGCTTTGGGAAACTAAAATTGTGGGATTTGAAATGAAATTAAGGTTTTGAATCAAATTGGGGATTTGATTATAGTGAGGCATTGGGGGAAATTAACTCAAATTTCATGAAATTCATGTTATGATTAACAAAGTTATGGTTATCATTGAAGGGGAATCGAGAGAGAACGGAAATAATGAAGGAAATTAAAGAAAATGACGTCATGAAAGGGCGTTTGGGCAAATTGGTGGTATAATTTAAGGTTATGAACAATTGTTGGTGATAAAATTTTTTAAGAAATAATTGTTGGTGCTTATTACTAAAACATGAATTAATTTTTTTTAGGGGAATAAAAACGAGAACTATAATAGGTGGTAATTATCAAATTTTCCTTAGTAATATCAAATATGTACATGCATTTTACTTTTTGATAATAAAAGATAAATATCATTAAAATTAAGTATTGGCAAATGTGTGATGAGAAACATTGTATCTTTCAAAAAAAAAAAAAAAAAAAAAAATAACTAAATAATAGAGAAAGTAGCTAGAATTGAGCTATGGGCCAATCGGCCACACAATTAGAGACAAAGAGAGTAATAATTTTATGATTGTCCATAAACACTTAAGGACGCAACAACATTCATTCCTTTTGTATATCGATCACGTACCTGATAAAGCCACGAGATCATGAACCGAGAGACTTTTATTAGCAAAGATGTTTGATAGCACAGTGAAGTTAGAGGCACCAGAAGGTATATTAGTTGAAGTCTCTGAAGCCAATGATATTGTTCCATCCCTTCTTCCGGTTGGCACCTTCCACAATGGCCTCCCATACTAATAGTGAAAATTAGTATAATTATGTTATATATCGATCAATCAACTATATTCTATTTTTTTTTTTCTCACGTATAGCATATATGTATAACGACCGATACTAAAGTTATATGAGTTGTATACATAAATTAAGTTTTAAGCATGCATAACATGCATAATGATCTAATATCAGATATGGCAAGGGGGTATTTCGGTTAACTTACTTGGAGAGAAACAGCGTCCCTTGTTGCTAGAGCCAAAATATCAGCACAAGACACAGTTTCTTGGCACACTTTCTCGACTTCAGCTTTAATACTGTCAATAACGTCGAATCCTGCTAAGTTTCGATTGGCATTTGCATCTTTCTCCGATTGGATATTACCCGTCGAGTTTAACAATACTGAAGCATCACACCCCTATACAACACATACGTAGTAAACTTTTTATAACCACAAAAGGTGAGCCAACAAAGGAAGAAAAAAAAAAACCCAAAGTTGTAATCCAACTTTTATGTATTCAGTGTATGCATGGACATATGAAATCAAATATATAACTTTATACTAAAGGCGAACTTTTGGATGACACGTGTCATCTTCTAATTAAAAAAATTCACGTCTAAATGTGTTTTTTGTTTTTTTTTTTTCCCCCAAATATTAACATCTATATATATTTGACATCAAATTTCTTCCATATATGTTCTACCAATATATATTTTGATATCTTTCTTACCATTTTTATTGGGTATTAAAGTAGTAATTTTCTATAAGACTTTAAATTATTCTTTTTTTGTCTAATTATATGCATATTTTGTACTTTGTATTTTATTTTCAAGAATAAACCCATCTACAATTTTCGATGAAAAGTAAAATAAATGAAATTGTAAGAATCTATACTTTTATTAACATTGCACCTCATTTTGTAAACATGATACAAATATGTAATCCTAAATAATAAATCAAATTATATATTATATATTTATACATAACTATGTTTTTTTTTTGTTTAATACTATAGGAATATTAGATCAAAATACCCATTGACTATAATCATAACAATAGTACTAATAAAACAAATATTAAATTCTCCACCATTCCCTAAAAATGAAACACATTTATTAATTAAATTATTACTCACGTGCCTATCAAAGTGTGGGACTAAAAGTGTATCACACGAGTATTGACCTTGATTTTATTGTTATAATATATTGTATATAATGAAGTTAGTTTTATTATGTAAAAATCGTAATAAAATTTTACAAAAATCGTGCATTGCACGGAACTTATACTAGTAAATTTACTATATACTTGATACTTCTTTTGTTTAGAAATAGTCGTACTTGCCTTTTATGTTTATAAATACACAAATTTATCAATTAATATCTTAAATATTTCTATAATAAATTCTTTTATTCTATTTAATTATACATCGATATGAACCCAACAATATTAATACGAAGTATAAAATGGTAATTAGTAAAAGGACAAAATCAAAGTTAACACTTTACACAAATAATGCAAAAAGTCAAAATTGTGTAACTTTATCTATTTAAACATAAGTACTGTAATAGATAATTCTATATTGCCTAACTTGTGAACAATAAATTAGAATAACTAATAACATAGGACTCTTTTATTTACTATGTATAATTTCATAGTTACAAGACCACTTTGACTTTTGACACTGATTACAAAACTCACATGACCATTACTAAAGTGAAAATAATATATACCACCATGTTAAAAGTTATTGAATTTACCTTAATATATGATTTAAATTTTCAAATTTTTATAATTTTCATTGATTGATATATAATTAGATATTTTAATAGTCAAATTTGTGTGTTATTGTCACAAGTGCAAATGAAAGTGAAACAACTATTTATAGATTTAGTAAAATAATTATCATTGTATTTCATCATCTTTTTTTTATAATTGCAATATTTTTGAAATTTTTACACTATTATACTCTCCTTCAATCATCTTTTGTGAATTTTTTATTTGATATCTTTGAGATTTATACGTAAGAAGAAATGTGATTATGTAAGATCTTATTACATTTGTCTTGATTCATTCTTCCAAAATGCCAATTGTATATAAAATAATTGATAGTAATTACAAGTTTAATTACTTGAGACACTATAGTATAATTTTACTAAAAGAACAATAAAAGAATTAATGGTATAAATTATATATTGACAAGCGAATTTCAAATGTTATGGTAGCTGCAAAAGAACATATTTGGCATATTTATGGTTTCAAAAAAAAAATAAAAAAATAAAAAAATAATTGGCATATATAAATTCAAATACATACCCGAACGAAACAGTCGTGGAAGAGCACCCTTATGAGCTTTGCAGGCAAATTTGGGTTACTAGAGACATGTCTTTCTGTAACACTTTGCACAATCTTTTCAGCTCGAGGGCAACTCTTATGGTAAAAATTATCCTTAAGGCCATCACCATCATATTTTGGCTCATAAGAATCATAATCATGACCATTTTTCCAACCTTCTTTATGTTTGTTATGAAACTTCTTCTTCGAACCACCTGCATTACAAATCACAAAAGTGCTACAAATTGCTAAGATTAGCAACATAAGCAACACCTTACTAACCATTTTTATCGATAACACACGTTTGCTTAATTATTACTCGTATTTACTTATATTATTAAAATTTGTTAATAACCTAAGATGACAAAGTTGGTTCTTGTGTTTAGCCTTATATAATAATTAGATGACATTTTCCTCAATAAAAAACTTGCATTAAAAAAAATGTATTTCATCATTATCAAAATTATTTATGTATTCATGCACGCATCTACCACAAACTTCATCCTTTACAACTTGTAAGTTGTAACTTGAACATGAATTATGCAAGATTAATCCAGAATGTTAGTTGACCTTCAAGCTTTAAATTTTTTTTTTTTTCAATAAAAAAAAGTAATAAAATTAATGTTTGAGCATATCATTTTTATTCTTTGATTGATATATTTTTATTTCTCAAGTCAATGCATGTTGTTTCATCCTTACCCCCTCTAGCTTCATGTACAATTTCAAATGGCCTTAAGTTTGCAACTCGTACAAGATGTTATTATTCCTATTATAAAACTCTTGGATTATTGATGAGAATTATTATTAAACGATTGATTTCTAATTAAGACACTGCCAATATTATGGGGAGTTTATTAATTTATTTTCCTTATTCATTGGCTTGTTTGTATGAATTGAGAAAATGATGGGAATAATCCCAACTATTTGGGGGTAAATATTCAGGCCCAAATAATTCCACCTAATCCGGGCTTGCGCTATAGCTAGTTTGTAATAATTACTCCATGAAATATTCAAGCCCATTACCATTGATCAAGGGTAAAACGATTAAAAAAAAAAAGGAACTATTCTCACTCACATATTATCTCTGCCACGGTCTGTGTTTCAGGGGTTTTTATGTGTCCTACGGGAGAGTTACTTCACCATGACTGGATCCTTTTCGCTTGTACCTGCAAATAAACGGAAGCTCCGGTTGTTCGGAGTTCCGCCTTCGACGATAAAGTTAGTAAGAGTCGAAGTTGAGTAAAATGCGGAAAGTAAAATGAATCTTCTCGAATCTTGAGATCAGGTGATTTCTCTATTGTAAGAGAATTGTGTTTTTAAAATGAATGTGCTCCCAAAATGGGGCGAATGTCCCTATTTATAGGGCATTGGGAATCAGCGTCCTCTTCCTAGGTTATTAACCAAGGTAAATGGGCTGCATCGTTTTTACAGCGCATCAGGATTTGAGCCTTTAAAGGCTGCCATTTTCCTAATGATAGGGGATGCCACGTGTCAGTCGCTGATTGGTCCCCATGGGACCACTCTTGGGTTGACACGTGTCACCTTTTAATTGGGCCACATGGCTTAGGTATTTTTACCCAAATAATTTTCTCCTTACAGGGGTGACGTGGCGTGCCACGTGGCACCTGTGACACTTGTCTCTTAGGCATTGGTAAACAAATTTTAAACGTTCACATTCTAGGGAAATTACAGGGATGCCCCTGAATTTACCCCTCTATAAATAGAAGTTTACCCCCTCATTTTTGACATTTTTAGAAAACGTCTAGAGAGAGAAAACACAGAGATTTTAGAGAGAGAAACTCCTGATCACCGCCTGATAACACCACCTGAAACAACTGGTCGTCGTCTGAGATATTTCCTTACAAAAAACCTTTGAGGTAACTATCTCTCTTCCTACTCTTTCTTGTCCTTTTTTACCGTTTGTGCATACTTTGAATAAATGGCTTCACCAACAACACACATAGCACAGCCTAGGACATAGTCAATAGGTCTCCTGTTACGGCTGAGTCTAGGACTGGGGGTGCCATCTCTGGGTGATTGGACTACCCTTGTTCTTCTCCGAATCCGACAGTCTCTATGTCTTTGCAGGACACTATGACTCGGACCAAGATGACGGCGCCTAACCCAGAATATAGGGGAGACGACACATTAGAAGTGTCGGCTGACGAGGTTTATGACCACCCCCCGGTGCACTAAGCACCCCAAGTGACTCCATATTAGAGGAGTCTGAAGAGAGAACCGGTGGGGAGTCCAGCTCTAGGTCGGACTCTGAAGAGTCTAATAGCTCGCTACAGGCGGGTACTGATAGTGAGGAGGATAAAGCATCCTCGTGGCCTAAGCAGACGGATCCGTTTGGGATTCATGTGTCTGCTAGAAATAGAGCAAGTATGGAGAAGAACTTGATCGATTTCATTAGCAAACGTCCCCTAGGGGAGATTTATGGAATTAGAGTGCCACCTGAGGATGGCACAATTGCCTGGGAGGACTACCAACAAAATGCCGGTTGCTACTTCGGCTGCTATGAGAAGGCATTCTTAGCCGGCTTACGCTTCCCCCTTCATGATGCAGTGAAGGCTATCTTGAGGGGGTATGACTCGGGTGTATGGAAACTCACCCCCAACTCTTGGGTGAATATCCTTGGCTATGTTGCCGCCTGCGAAATGCAGGATATTAAGCCCGGATGGGAGGCCATTGCGAAGATGCATTATCTAAGCTGTGCTCCAGGCGGCTATATACACTAACCATGTATCCGAAATACTTGATGACGCTTGACAAGAGCTCCAAGTGGACTAACTGGAGAAGCATGTTTTACCTCGTCTCTTCTCCCAGCCGGCGCTAGAACCATGAGTTTCGCCGGTATAATAAGAAGCCAAATCTTCTGGGCAAGAAGTGTGCCCTGCCGTGCGTCCCAAACCAGGGTTGGGACCAAATATTGGATCCGGATTTTTTCGGGGTCACCACCATGCCGTTATCAAACAGCGAGCAAATAATTGTACCCAAGAATTGGGTGCCCCACCATGAATGGTTAAAGGACGAGTGCTTCTTGTCCGCTTGTTGTCTTAATATATGTTTGATAGAAGTATGTAGGATAACCATCCGTCATTTTTGTGCCGTGTCTGTTGCTTGCATGCCTTTTGTTTCTTGCTTTGTCGAGTTGTCTAACAGACGGTGTTTTTTGCAGAAACAACAAAGAAAATGCTTTCAGCTGACAAGACGCCTGTCAGGTCTGCAGCACAAATTAGAAAGGATAACCTGGAGAAAAAGAAAGCCAAGCATACGGCTAAAAAGGATCAGGTAAATTCATATTTTTGCATTTTTCTTTCTTTTTTTTTAATTATTTTTTTAGAGACGGCAAGTGCCGACTGTATTTGACATGTTCTTCTATCAGGATGGAAGCAAGGGGCCCCCCAAATCCGTCAAAAAGATGATCAAGCGGAAGCAGGTGGACGAAGCCAAGGGCTCCTCCAAATCCAGGAAAGTGTCCTCCTCTCAGGCGGTACCTTCTCTTCCGTCTAACAAGGACCGTCCGACCACAGCCGGAAGAGTCTAAAAAGCTTTGGTTTTTGGATAGATCTTGTCAACAAAGAGCCGAGCGCCTCAAAGGCGCTAAAGAGTGACGTGCCACTCGATGCTGCATCCAGTTCTGCAGCGGCTGTGGGCAATCCGAGCCTTCAGCCAATTTCCTAAGGTACGGCTGCCTCACTTGAACTCCCTTAGCCCATGGGACCCATGCGGGTCAAATCTTAGTCTCATCAACAGTCGGAAGATTCTTCAAGCAGCCGTCAATCTATTGGAGCTGCTTATGCTGCATTCTCACGAAATCTTCCTTATGCTGCAGATCTCTCCCCTAGATGGCCGGATCTCCAACAATATTCCAAGTGGATGTTGAACACAATTACAATGTCTGAGAAGGAGGCTATTCCTGGGGTGGAATCGACCAACTTCAAGCGCATCACCGCCTTGCTGGCTGAGGTAACTTAAGTTAGACCTTTAAACCTATTCTTCATTTGAGAACCGGCTGAGTCATTGACTTGTCATTTGTGAAATGCAAGCAATGCTGAGGGTTGATGGGCTCAAATCGTCGTTTGCCAAGAAGCAAGAGGAGGTAAGTGATGCCAAAGTCCGGACAGCTGAGGCTCTTGACACTGCTCAATATCGAATTACGATGCATGATATTGAAGCTAAAGCAGAGTCACTTTCTCAGGCGGTGACCATCTAAGAGCTGACCAAAGGGCTGAGCTAGAGACGACCCAGAAACAGACGTCTGACTTGTAGCTTGAGCTTAAGAATGCGCAATCAGACCTCAAGGCTCTCCAAGGAGCTGATAAAGAGAACACCCAGCTCCAGGCAGACGTCGATAGGCTCTAAAATGAGCTGGTCAAGGCAGTTGGGGATCATAAGGCGGCTCTTGAAGATGAGCAAGACCGCCTGATCGAGGAGAACGAGAATGACTTCGAAGAACACATGAAGATTGCGTGGAATCTCATTCACCCGGATGCCGAGTAGGCTTTCTTCGCTCTAAGGTAAAAATATGCCAATCTGGTGCACAATGCCAGAGCTCTGGAGATCCGAAGCCACCTCTATTCGAGGAATGGGCCAACAAAGAGAAGTCATCTGAGGACGAGTAGGAGGAAGGCGGGGAGGAGTGAAGAAGAGGAGGAGCGCCAGGAGGAAAATGTACCGCTTGATTCAACGGTTCCTCCGCCTAGGTAAGATTCGACTGTGCTTCCTCATGGGAAAACCAGTATGTGCCTCCGCCGCAGCAAAATTAAAGTTGTTGTTCACTCATCCAGCCTTGTGCCGACTGTCTTTCCGGCCTGCGTGCTGAGTACTTGTTGTATTTTTAAAACAATCTTCATCTTTTGTCGGTTGTGTAACCGGTTTAACAATTAACCTATTCATCGGCCATAGGGTCGGTTTATTTTAATAAAATTGCCGACTATGTCGGTTTTGCCTCAATTGTTTCGATGTTTTCGATTTTTTGAATTTTTTCTATATGTGCCTGAACTATTGCCAACTTATTAATTACATGCGGTAACTAACAAACTAGCTGGCCTCTTGCCCCCAAACATTTAGTTGTAAAAAAGTAGATTGATTGAATTAGGAAATTTTTTATACTTTAAGGAGTATGACAAGTTCCTAGGTCAATCGATCACTACTATGATTACCCCAAACCAAGTAGACAGTCGTCCAAGGAGCAGACGGTATATACTTGGATATCCAAATAACTTATGGTATTGCCTTGTCCATTAGATAAGGAACCATTCTTTGCCGTCTGGGTCACT